TTTCTTCTTCAGGCCTCGGAGTGGCTACTGGTCCCTGGGTACCTCAATATTCCATTAACCCTGCCTACAGGGTTAATGGTTTGAAATAGTTTCCTTCATTGCATTCTCTTCAAAGCTCCAGTTACGCATGTGCCTTCTATCTTCTATTGGTACCCTAAACGATATTGGCATACAAGAATTTAATAAATATTAGTCACTTTAAATTTATGGTGGGAATGAATTCATATAGATTTAGCATTTTCCCAGTAATACATGCTAGTATCCTAATGTCATGACACACTTTTAGTGGAGTTTAGCTTGGAGATCTCAATGTTATATTAAATTTCAATGACAATTATTAATTAATTCAATCCTGCCAGCATGCTCAGATGCACAGTAATAGTTATAAAAATGTGGTTAGGCCCTACTCTTTCCTAGTCATATATTCGAGATAATATAGTAAAAAAATTATTTCCCAAATACCAAATTACATACTGTACAAGATGCTTTTCATTTTGCACAAGAGTTGCTTATTGAATTTGTGGGACACCTGTGGGTTGCAAAGAAATGAAAGTCTGACTTACTGTCTCCACGAAATTTGCAATCCAGTTACGAAAATAAGACAAATGTGAAAAGTTCTTTCTTGTAGTATCTTAAATGGTAGTAAATGAGACAGTTATAAGATATTCATTTTTTCACCCATACATTGATCCAAAAAAGACTTGAACTCCCACCATGTGCCAGGCCATAATCAATGCTAAGGATCTGAGGTGAACAAACCAGACACAGTTCTGGCCCTTATGAAGTTAACAGCCTAATTGGAGACAGACCACCAATAGTCACACCAACAATGGTATTAGTGACTGAGGTAGGTGCTCTTAAGGAAAAGGAACAGTTACATGACAGCTTATCACAAGGAGATTAACCTAGGCTGGAGAGGCACGGAAGGCTGTCCAGAGGAAGGGACCATTGAGCTTGGGACTGGAAGAGGTGTGACATTGTCAGACTTACATTTTGAAAGGATCACCTTAGCTGCTTTATGGAGGGATGTCAGAAAGGGTGTGGGAGGGTAGCTAGTTTTTAAGCTATTTAATCAGTCCAGGTGAGACTTGATGGCATCTTGGTTGGCAGAGGGGGATGCAGTAAAGATGGAGAGTTGTGGATGAATTAGGAAGATGTTTAGGGAAATGGATTAACGATGTTTTGCTATGGATTGGATACCAAACCAGTGGTGATAGAAAATAAATTTTGAAACAAGTTCTAGTTTTCCATCTTTCATAATGAGACAAACTGTGGAGGTTTCGCAAATGTAGGAAATGTTGGAATTGGACATTTAGGGCTGCCAATTGTTGCCTCATTACCTATCTGAGGCACAAACTCAGATATGGTTAAAAGGGGCTCATTGTGAATACCGAGACACTTGCATCACTCGGAATTCCCAGGGTTTTAGGAGTTCTGTACTAGGAACCTAGGGCAAAGATCAAATATAGTCATCTCTAGGGTCCAGCCCTATAGGGTCTAGTGAGTCCCTCCATGCTAGTGTAGAGACAAGAAATTAGAAATAAAGACACAATAGACACTGAGATAGAGAAAAGAGAGTTTGGGCCCAGGGGTCCACTGCTACCCAAAGCTTGGAGACCAGCAGTGGCCCCGAGTGCCTCGACACTCCGACTTTCATTGAGTACAAAATGCAGGGGGAAAGGCAGGTAGATGAGGTAATGGTGGTCAGTGATAGGGTCAGGTAAATCACGTGTCTTGAAGATAGGGGGCCCAAGACTTTGAAGAAGCCGAGGCGAGGAGAAAACCTAAGGTGTCAGCACTTTTTTCATACTTGTCAAGAAATAACAAGGTCACTATGATTTAGATTACCATTACTAGTTCTTATCTTCTAAGGAAAAGAGGAACCAGGTGCAGAAGCAGAACTTGAAAGTAGACATGGAGCGTGACCACTGAAGCACAGCACCACATAGAGACAATTAAGCCCCTGGATGTCTGTGAGTGTCCCTGACAGCCGTCAGGCTTACCACAAGAGCTTGGGAAAGCGGAGTTTTCTCCTTACTCTCCTGAGGAAGGAGACGTCTCTGCCATCTTGGACGTGTCCTTCCCTAACTGGCTAAACAGCGGGCATTTTCACAGTGCTGACACTGTCACACAGCCGAGGCTTCCTCCAGCAGCCCTTAGGCGGGTGTGACAGGGGACTTAGAGCATCTTGCCTTAGGGTCACCTCTTTTCCAATGCCACTTCCATCCCATACTTCTTGACCTGAGACTAATTAGTAAGATTAAAGATTCTATGATTATATATGTGTATATATTTGTGATTACATCTGAATAGCTATGTGATTAGCTATTAATCATAATAGCATATGATTATATATAGGAATAACTATGTAACTATATTTCTAATTATTTTCTAATTCTAAGTTTATATGAGAATATGCTGAGGCTTCAGGTCCCTGCCTCAGCTCTTGCGGGGTTTCCCTCTTACAGTCATCTCTTGGTATCCTCCCTGAGAACCCCAGTGGACTCCAAAATCTGAGAATGCTCAAGTCCCTTATATAAAAAAGCAGTATTTGCATATGACCTATGCACACTCTGCTGTATGCTGTACTTCAATCATCTTTAAATTACAATATAAATTCTATGTAAATCATTGTTATATTTTTAGAATGTATATTTTTAATTGTTGTATTGTTATTTTAGTGTTTGTTTCTCCCCTCAAAGTAAGGCCAGGGCTGAGGCCTCCTGTTGGAGAAGCAGAATCTTTTCCTCCTGGGCCTCTGCTGGTTTGGTGGACGGGTTTGAGCAGCACTGTTGATGGGTTTGTTACAGGTTCCCTGCGTTCTGCTTCTAGGAGATCCTTGTGCTACCTGGCCTGTGCAGCTCCTTCATTCAGTTTTTCAGCATTGAACATCCTGTTTAGGTCAGCGTTACCTTGACTTTTCCCTTCAACTCAATTTTACTTTGAGTTTTGATTAATTTGTGTGTGTGTGTGTGTGTGTGTGTGTGTAGTCATTTATCACCTGAATTCTGCCTTACTGTTTCACAAGTCTTTCTTTACAGACCCAAACCCACTCAGATCTGCAAAAGCCCACCTTTCCTCAGGATTTGGCTCCACAAGTTTCCCGCATCTATGAGTTCAGCTCCCTGTCCCAGATCAGGCTGAATATCCCCAAATCCACTCTGACTTTTGAGGAATGGGTGCTTGTGTGGTAAGAAACGTGAGTTTTGAAACCCTCACTTGCCCTGCTTTTCTCTCACTTTCCACATTAGCCCACTGCCTTCACGCCACCGGTCGGCTGCCCAGATCCCCCTGGGATTGGACAATACAGGATGAATGTCTCAACCCAGCAAAGGCCTAAACGTCCTGGAGCTTCCACTCTTCCCCTGGTTTTGAAAGGCCCTGAAAAGGAGGGTAGCCAAAGAGGTTTAAGTAAGAAATACATTTAGGGAAGATAAAATTTTAGGCAGTCTAGTGAAGTGATTACGAGCATTTGCTTAGGAGTCAGATGGCCCTGGGTTTGAATTCGGATTTGCCTTTTGCTAGTTATATGATTTGTGGCAAGTACATGCCTCAGTTTCTACTGATGATACCAACCTCCTATAGTGTCAGCACAGTACAGTAGTTAGACATATGGATTCTGGTGCCACACTGCCTGGATTTTAATGCTGGCTTGTCATTTAGAAGCTGCAGCCTCGACCTCCTGGGCTTAAGCAAGCCTCCCTCCTCAGCATCCTGAGTAGCTGGGACTATAGGTGCCCACCACCATGTCCAGCTAGTTTTTTTTTTTTTTTATTTTGTAGAGGCGGGGTATCCTGAGCAAATGACTTAACCACTGTGTCCCAAGTGGGGGTGATAACAGTAGATGCTTCATGTGAATAGAGGTATTTCTCATTTGAGTCTTCCAAATATTTGTCTAACTACATTCTCCAAGGAGACCCAAATCAAATTAAAGAATGAAATGATTCCTGAGGTCTAAACATTGGAGTCTGAAAATGCTACAAGACAGGATCTTAATGACATTGTATCAGGTCTCTCTCTCTGTGTGTGTGTGTTTGTAATTTAAAAGACACTGAATTGTAGACAACAGAAAATATAGTAATTATAGGTGCTTTTCTCCCAATCAATTACCTAATAAAATAAAAATAAATCAAAAAATAAAAAGAAAAGTGAAAGAGGGAGTCAGAGATAGCTTAAAACCTGGGTGAACTGGGAGCAGACCCCCTAAAGCAGTTGGTAAGTTGGGGGGCGGCAAACAGGCAGTGGAGCTCAGTAGTGTGGTGGGATAGCCAGGCTGATGCCAGTGGCAGATGGGGACCAGAGTTCAAGTGTCTTCTTTGTCTGTTGGTCAACTGAATGCAAAACTGTCAAATGAAACATTGGTGACTTTAAGAGTCAATATGACACAGTGAAAATGGGTTTGATAAGAGGTTGAAGTCTGGAGGAAATCACGGTTAGTATGTGGTAGGTAACATTAGAAGGAAGAGGCCCTCATAGCCAAGTATTTCCCACTGTGTTAATATCAGGAATAACTTCACTCACTCTTTGTCAAATGACTTTAGACCATCTGTAAAAGACAAGTGAAATAAAAGAAAAATTAACCTCATAAAATCCTACCTATCTTTATGAAGAATTAGAGAATGTCTAAAATTGAGTAGATGCTATGATAAGAATGAATTGATCACAACATGGTGAAACCCCATCTCTACAAAAAATACAAAAATTAGCTGGGTGTGGTGGTGTGTGCCTGAAGTCCCAACTACTGGAGAGGCTGAGGTGGGAGAATTGCTTGAGCCTGGGAGGTTGAGGCTGCAGTGAGCCATGATTGTGTCACTGCCCTCTAGCTTGAGTGACATAGTAAGACATTGTCTCAAAAAAAAAAAAAGAATAAATTGCTCATTGCTCATAATTAAGTAAAATATTTGCTTTTGCTCAACTTTACTGAATATCATTAGATTTATAGCAATCATTAAAGAATTTGATACCAGAGCCCACCCACCAAAAAAAAAAAAAAGTCAGTGCAAAAGATTTGAGTAAAGGAAGTTTGTCAAAGGCAAATGTGTAAAAGAATACATGTGTACATCACTCTTTAAATGCTTTTCCTGAGTATTCTATGAAGTCTGGGGATCTTCAAATGCTATTAATCTGAGACAGTAAATGTTATAAAGGAACTCTTTAAAAGTAAAAGGACCTCATTCTCTTCCATAGTGAGTTTTTAAGCAGAGGATATCTACAACGTGGATTCCTTTGCCTTTTGACAGACTGAAGTTCATCCGTCTCCCAGGCAGCTTTTTGAGTCTCTTATGGAAGCCTAATTCTCTTAGCATGTAAAATGATTGAAATATATGCCATAATTTTCTTCTTAATTCAAGCCACATGTTCAAATTTGAGGCTTAAATTCCCATTGCTTTATTTTCTAAGAAATTTTTAACATTAAACAACAAGTATTTTTATCAAAATTACCTATATTATTTACAACTGAATGACTATTTTCAAATAAACTTTCCTCCCCAATGGATAGGAATGCAAACTCCAAGTACATAGAATGCTGTGAGTAAAGAAGCTTACGTTTGCCCCATCAGTTTCTAAAGGTTATTTTTACATATAGTCTCATGGTCATTTGTATGGGGAAGTTCTTTTTCCTGGAAACGATTCAACTAAGCACAAAACTAAAATCCAGAGCAGGGATAAGGGAAGAATGCAGATGTTCTTAGTGGAAATATCACCATCAGGGAATCTTCTCTTAAACACTGGAAGTGGTAGAGTTGGAATCCTTTTTTCTGTGAAGCAGAAACAAAAACAAAATTGTCATGTTTAGAGAAACACAGGAAACTGGCTTTGTCTGGAGATACCAGGTAAGGACTATCATGCATACTGGCTTCTAATTTAATTTGCTGGGCTGCTGGAATGAGCTAACCCTACTCCATCTGATAAGCAATAATGATGGAAAACAGCCATTTGTTTTAGTGAGAGACTGTGTTAAAGAAAAACTTCTCTTCCTGGGTCTGCGAGGGGTGTAGTTTCAAAGGCAGGATTTTCTCAGCTCTGGCTCCATCGGAAATATAAAAGTTCTTTGTCTGAGTTTCCTGCACTTGGGCTAGGTAGAGAAAACAGATGGGCTCCTTTGTTCAAAAAGCCCACCAAAAGCTCCCTGGAGGAGGGGGCTCTGCTGTGGACCAAGTAGCCAATCTGGTATCAGAGTCAAAGATGAATCACTCCAGAGGAAGTTTGAAAGAACTCCTCTCATTGGACGAGAACATGAATGGGAGGGAATAACTTAAGGTTTAAAAATCCTGCTGCTCCCTCCCTGTACGGATTCCTTCTCTGGATCCCCTCCCACAGCAGCATGGGAGCTGTCTTTCTCTCCCTCTCTCTTTCCGCAAAACTCTTTGGGTCCATGATATTTATTTGAATGGCAAACTCACCGCACCTCCAGGCCGTTTCCCCATTCTTGGGGTTATTAACAGGTAAAGGCCAAGAACCTTTTCCAGCTGGGAGGGAGCTGGGAGGGTCTTTGTGATGCCCCTCCCCCTGTTGCATTAGGAGCTCCTCGTAAGTTCAAACTGGTTCCCTATTTTGACTGCCCAGGAAAGGGAAACTCCTCGGTACAAGTTGGAATCTGAAAGCCCTTGTTATGCCTGACTTACTTTTTCAAGTTTTTCATTATTTTTTGTATCCATTCAGCTCGAGGGTTCAGGCACACAACTGACTTGTTCTTCTTCCAGATTCTGGGGGAAAATAAAAATTAAATAACGCAGTGTCATATTTTAGTCAATCCTATACTTTTAATAAAGAAAAGAGTTGGGTATGAAAATATTTATTCCTAGATGAAGTGAAATTGGAGCTGCATAGTTTTGGCTCTGGAATAGGTGATTTGCAGCATGGGGTCAGAGGAATAAGAAAACAACCATTTGTGGACCAGTATGTGTGAGCTGGTGGGGTTGAATATAGAGCTAAGAGAGCCTCACATGTCAGAGGTTAGTGTTTTGTTGATAACCTTTATGTGTGTTGGAGAACAACCAACTGGTTGACTCCGAGATTGGCTCACTTCTGAAGTTATATCACAATATCTTTAGAATGTGCTTATCTGTTGCATTGCATTTGAGAGAACAAAATAAGCTATAGAGAACACCCTCTTGAGAACCTGAATTTCACTGGAAATAAAAAATCAGTGCAATTTCACACAGGGGGCATGCTGCAGAGCAGATAGCTTGGAGTGACATCTGCATTTTGTCAAATTACCACTAAGATTTTTCCTGCTCTAAGACATTAAGCAATAGCAAAAGTGGCAATGATAGTTAATAGTTAATATTTATCAAGTACTTTTAACACACCAGGCACTATGCTTAGCAGGTAACATGGATTGTTTCAATTCATTTTACAAAAATCCTTTGTTGGAGAAACTATTATTTCCTTATCTTTTGATGATGAACTTAATGCTTACAGAATTTAAAAAACTTGTTCAAGATTGTACAACAAATACATGATACAGCAGGATGCAAAACCCACATTTTTAGTCACTGTTTTTCATGAGCAGGACCTGAGTGGTTACCAAGTGCCAGACATAGCTTTATCTGCCGTGGAAAAGTGAGGTCTCTTAGACAGCAGAAAACTGGGAGACTCTACCCTCTATTGGTGTGAACTCAAAGAAAACACAATTTCCTGATATATCATTTATCTTAGCTATAAAATGATGAACAGCCACCATCATGTTAGCTCATGCCTGTAATCCCAGAACTTTGGGAGGGTGAGGTGGGTGGATTTCTTGAGGCCAGGAGTTTAAGACTAGCCAGGTAACTTAATGAGACCTCATCTCTATGAAAATTAAAAAACTAGCTGGGCATGGTGGTGTGCACCTGTAGTCCCAGCTACTCAGGAAGCTGAGGAGGGAGACTTGCTTGAACCCAGGAGGTCGAGGCTGCTGTGAGCCATGATTGTGCCACTCCACTCCAGGGCAAGAGTGAGATTCTGTCTCAAAAAAAAAAAAAAAAAAAAACCCAAAAAACCCCAAAACTCCAAACAAAACAAAAAAGACAAACAGCAAGGATCCATCCAATTAACTTTGAAACTCCACCTTTGCAAGTAAATCTTAGAGAGATGAAAGAGCATGGAACAGTTGGGCTTTCAGGCAGACATTTCCAATTAGGTTTCTGAGTTCATGATGGAATAATAACATACCAGGTATTTCTGACCCTCTGGACTCACAGTATTTTCACCTCTGACTGGCATGAATTTCTCATAATAATTTGAAATTTTCATTTCTCTATCTGGCTTAAATTCAGAAATGCGGAATTTGATGAAAAGATGTGAAATCAGATTTTAGTCATTTCAAAACAATCAAAGTTAAAGCAGAGAAAATTAAGGTGCATTACCTTCCTTGATTGAGAGGCAAGAGACTTGAGCCATGACAGAGGAAATGGAATTAAAAGAAAGGGGTCCCAGTTTTCTAAACAGCCAAAGAACTGCTCCCAAATAGGTCGTGGCTAGACCTCACATCTCTAAGTTTGAGGGCAATCATTGTAGTTAGTTAGAATTGTTATTGTTAAAGACATTAGTGAAATGCCTTTTTAGTGAAACATACAATGCCTTTATAGTGAAAAATTTCCACATGCACTTTTGATATCCCATGTTTCAACTGGTCCAAGGCCCCAAGCACTGATAACAAAATGTGACAAACAAAAAGTAGCTGCTCAGAAACACTGCAAAAATCTAAAGAGGCCCATGGGAAGAGCTACTAATGAACGCCAAGTCAGGGATGCCCTGTGAAAGACGCTGTGCCTAATACTTCAAGGTGCTGTGAACAAGAGGCTTTGGAATGGGGAAAATGTGAGTGTGGTCCTGGCTAATGGACTTTCTAATCCTTTCTGATGGTATGTCTCAGGCAGTTTGTTAACCTTCCTAAGCCTCAGCTGAGAAGGGGTTCCCACCGCTGCAGAAGTCTTACCTGCAGACCCTGACTCAACGACGGATGAATGAATGTACTCTCACACCATTACAGTGTTTCAGGTGAGCTAGGGCTGGCCATTGCTGCTTTCAGAGGGCGAAATGCAACCAATCGACCCAGACCCTCTGTCTGTACACACTTTTATTCATAACAGAGGTTCTAAGTTAACACGCTTGTAGATAATCAGCATGGTTAAAAGAATGAAGAGAATGGTTTTATGACTGACAAAAGCTTTAGGTTTTGGGGCCCAGAGTAATTGCTATTAACAGGCGATTCCCCGTTGATCTTCCTGGGAGAGGAGAAAGATCAAAGTGGAATTTCCCAGCACAAAATTAACATGAGTAAACAGAGTGGAGAGACATGGGTGTGGGGTAAGGCCTTTGATTATCTCTATCTCTCCCTAACTTAGTGGACTGGCTGGCCATCTTTGGCCTGCCCAAAACCTTTTGGCCTTCCAAAAGGTTTAAGACTACTCTATAACTTTCCCTAATATATCTTTAATATTTTCTGTAATATTTTGCCAACCACCTCGAGTGAATCTCAACACTCAGCATATAAGGAACAATAAACTTACCTTAATAAAGTGGTTGAATAAATAAAATGAGTATGTGCATGTAAAGCACTTAGCTCAGGGCTGCCACAAAGTAAGCTCTTAATTATTAATAATTCTCATTAGTTTGAGAATTTTTAGCAACACTCAAGTAAATCTCTTTTGACATTCTTGAGTAAGACTACCATATGGTAACATTTGATCAAATTTCGTTGGGAGAAAGAAATCTTATTTATTTATTTATTTATTTATTTATGAAACTTACATGATTTCTTTCCTTGGACAACCATGCCCACGGGGCAAGATTTGAATTCGATCAATGAGGGTTAGGGGGATAAAGGCTGAGGTCTCTTGGACACATTTACACCTCAAGTTTGTGTTATGGACCTCCAGAATACCTGTAAACACAGAATCAGTTATTTTAATCCATTGGCATGTAATTCACAATGAGAATTTAATTTAGTAATTAAACTTTCATACTGTACATTTGAAGATTTAAAAGTTCCAAGTCAGTGATTCCACCCATATGTCTTTCTTTTGTATATTTCTGCTTGTCCTGGCTTGAGTATTTTCAAATGTTTTCTACCAAAATGTTAAAAATAAAATTAGCTTTTAGACCAGGCACGGCGGTTTACACCTAAAATTCCAGCACTTTGGGAGGCCAAAGTGGGAGGATTACTTGAGCCCAGGAGTTTGAGACTAACTTGAACAACAAAGGGAGACTCCATCTCAAAAAACAAATAAATAAAGCAAAACAAAACAAAAATTAGCTTGAAAAAAAAAAACAGCACTTTTTGAAATTTGTGATAGCATTATCTTTGTACTCAGGTGAATGTCCACATAATAAAATTTGAGAACAGCCTCTGTAGGGACTTACATACAACTCAGTTATAATTAATGCAATATAAAATCAATGGATCATCTTCCCTCCCAACACATAAAAACCGAGGACATGACCTGGCTCTAGAGTCCTGGGAGCAATAACATGCTGGAACAGAGTTTTCTCTATCAGACTCTCCGTCATCCTCCCCTTCCCTCTCAGAAAATGCCACAGACATTTTTGTTTAATATGTTGGCCCCTCCATCTGGGTTACAAATTATTACCAAACAAAATACAATCATAAAAATTCAAAACTCTTTTTATTTAACAAAAGTGATTAATACTGGATAGGTGCCATTAGTACCCATCTCATGAGTTTTAACGGGATCTAATGAAATCTAAGCAAACATTTATCAGATATTTTCTATCCAGCCTACTACAGTGCTTGACATGCATTTATAAATAAAAAGGCTCAACTCTTAAGATGTGTACAATTTAGTAGGGGAAACAAGCAAACAAAAACGATAATGCTACAACGGAAGGTTGTATTGCGTGCAACATCTGACCTGGTGCTGAGAAGAGGATGTACTAAGAGCTCCCTCTGCCAGGAGCCCTGGGAAAGCCTCATGGCGGATGCAAGAAGTTTGAGTCTTGAAGAGTGAAAATAACATGTGAAGCAAAATTAAAACTGGGAGAGAAACCCCCTCTCTGTTTTAATAACAAAAATCTGGTCTTCTAAACCTGAACAGAAGCCTTCTTTTTGCACATGTATCCATTCCTTCAACCACATAAAAACTTACTACTTCAACTGAATATTTATCTATTTACACAAAGCCGCCCACTTAGCCTTGGAAGTCTGCTTCTTTGCAAAATGTGTGTAAATACCCCTGGTGTACTGACAAGGGTGTACTTGACATCAGATCTAACCGTGTGGAATTGAATGAAGCATGTTCACTGCAAGAGACCAGTAGAGTTTAATAATCTTTAAATCCTATATAGGGTTTGGTCAGAGTGGGTAACTTTGAGAGACAGAACAAAGAAGAGCTACATGTAAAGAATTATGTATAGCAGGAATGGAATCTGAAAAAGGCCAGGAATATATAAGCCAATATAATTTGCATGGATATTGGACTTCTGGTATCTCTTTTTCCTATGAATAAAAATCTTATAAATATTTCCAGTTTTGAAGAGTTAAATTTCTAAACACCTTACTTTGAGAAATCTAGAAGCAACAGAGCAGTCTTTCCCTCCCTTTAGTTGGACTTCCTGCAATTTGTAATTGAAAGAAAATTGAAGTGGTTAAAGACTATTTCTGTTCAACAAACAGTAAAACATAAGTGAAAGTTCTCACCTTGAACTGGGGAAAGGCTGCTGATCAGCAGCATGAGAAGCAGAGATGCCAAGATGAAATTCATTCTGTCTGGAGGTAGAGTTCAGACTTGAGCTCTGAGTCCAGGCTGTGGGTTTGCAGTACCAGAGACTCCTATTTATTTACACCAGTAAGGGCCCTCCCACTGCCTTTGTCTCCAGTAGGTCAACTGCATCATCAGTTTTAAAAGCCCCCAAATATTGCTGAGCTTGCTTTTTTAAAAACTTCTCTTGCAAACTTTATAAATTTGTTTCGAAGCACTATAATAAAATATTTCTTGAAAATGTGAACTGTAAGTGCCAGAGATGCTGGAGAAATCTGAGGATGGGGAGAAAGAAAAATCTATCCATTTGGAAGCTCCGAGGCACTGTCTTTAGCAGCGCTATTGGTGATGGTGGCTTTGATTGCTTCTCTCAGAGCAGGGTGAGCCAGGTTTCTCAGTGGCATTCGATATGTCACTAAACTGGGGACTCCATCGAGCACATCACATCCATAGCATCTGGAAGGGATTCCAGCCTTCGGTAGGTGCTCAGTAAATATTTGCACACCAAATGAATGTCTCTTTATATACAGATCCTAATGCTGATTATGCTATTGATGTTCCTACCAGTCATTTCCACCTCCTATTTTACTATCTGGAATATATGATTACTTATATAATCTGACCATCATGGAATTCTTAGAGGGGGCAGTTGGTGTCCCCTCCTTTGTGTGTCTGTGTCTGCATGTAGGGAGGGAGACAACAGCCTTAAGGAAGAAAATCTCTCTGGCTGTCATGTGCAAGTCCATGAGCTTGAAAACCATGTGGCTGGGGAGGGAGTCTTTAGAACTATAATAGACGGTGAACTCCATCTTACAGTCTGTTTGACATAAGCACATGTGAAATTTGGTTTTGATCCCACCATCTAGTCCATGGGGACGATCAGCTCACAGCCTATCTCATTTTCTGGGAGCTCTTTGATTAAAATAAAAGGAGATCGACAGTGGCTAGTCTGGCCTAGAGTACCACTAAATTGTGCTGGAAGTAGACAAGGATGATGTATCAAACCAGACCCACTGAACTGCTAAGAAATCAGAGCTTTGAGCTTCTTGGCATGATTTCCTAAATAACTTGTTTTTTGCTAATCAATTGGCATTGTGAATGTCTAGCATCCCAGGTGCTCCAGTATGTATGGGGGTGGAGGTGGAGGAGTGGGAATGCCACACAATGGTCACATATACACAGTTCTCCAGTCACCCTGATAGGGCACTCATCCATCTTGAGGCAGCCCATTCTATTGTTTGGCCATTCTAGTTAGGAATTTCTTCCTTATGCATATGTGAAAGCTGCTTCCCTAGTAGTTTGCTTATGCTTGTGTTGTGATAAGGGGTTGAATTAGGACAAAATTCAACCCCTAATCATAACACAAAACAATTCTAAACACTTTTGTATGAGATGGCAATCCAAATATATGAAGGCAGGATGTGTCAGATGCGTCCTCTGCAAAGCAGATGCTGAGATGGACATTGGAATAAAAGAAAGTTATTCAGAACACCTCCTGTGATAGAAGGAGGAAAGAGGCAGAATTGGGCAGGGGAAGACTCAGATTGCAGTGCTGATTTGACGAAGTCTACAACAACTCACTGGGGAGCTCCAGAGGAAAGATTGTTTATTAGAGGGGTCCACAGTGGGCAGAAATGTCTGTACTCTGCTACCCCTGCCATGCTTGGTCCTTAGCATGGTCTCTGGTTGAAAGCTGAAGCAGAGCCTGAGGAAGTTATCAGTGGAGGCTGTCAGCTAACTGCACTCCTTGCCATTGGCCAGCAAGTTATTTCTTTAAGGGAGAGTTGAGTAGGGTACCTCTGAGTGTCACTCAGGGTTATAAACTAGAGGTTAACATCACTAAGTGTGAGCTCACCCTGGCAATGACTTTGGACGGGTCACTTAATTTCTCTATGCCTCATATTGACCACTTTCCATATGAGGATAATATGAAAATATGAATTCCAAAGGATTGTTTGGAGAATGAAAGCTTATATGTAAAGTGTTAGGCTGAGTACTGGCACGTAGAATGTATTCAATAAATAGCCTGCTTGTCTGTCTAACTACCTAATCTGCTCAGGAAAAAAAAACCACAAAAAACTGCTCCATTGCCTGTAGATATCTCAACATAAGGTTTAGGGATTTAACTTTTCAATCCATCCATCCATAAAAGATCTTACTAACTTCCACTCCAAAACTCACTTCAAAAATAAATATCCCTATTTCTTTGAATTTATAAGTTTGAAACTCACTCACCATCTTGATTTACCTTTTTGAAACCTGTTGATCTTTTCCATTTTTCCTTATAAATTATAACTACCTTCCGTTTTCCTTCCCCATCACCCTCTCTGACTCACAGCTACCAACATGCATATACTTGCATGCACACATCTGAACATTATACTACCCAAGTATGGCTTTGCGAATACAAGCTAGAGGAAGTCCATTACCTCCTTTGTCCTAGCACTATTCTTCTATTAATACATTCCTAGACTGAATAACATTATTCTAGTCACTTATATTGAGTTGGTAGGCAATAACATTCCTGTTTTTGAAAATGGTCAATTTCATACAGTGTCTAATTCATTTTACTCTTGTGTGATATGATCTTGAGACTCATTTTAATTTTGCCTCTAAGTACTATATATTTTCTTGTGAGAGCAAAAAAGCAAGAGTGATGCCGACAAGAACTGAAAGGGTGTAGGGACGAAGGTACCTGAAAGAGGGCTTTGAATAAACCTAGGAAACTTGGTTTAGACTGGCTGCTATTAAAAATAGTGCCACCAAGTTAAGGAACTAATTCCAGAACAATTCTTAAATCTGATTTTAGTTTCTTTAATGCCCAGAGTTCTGGATTTAGCTTATTTGGATCAAGAAGCCTTATCCATGTCAGCCCCAAGATGGGGCTGGAGGTTGGGCATCTCTCTGATAGCCAGACGATTCTAGAAGTTTCAAGTCCAACACTCCACGATACCATCTTATGGTAGGGGTATAAATTTCAAGAACTCTGAAGCCAAGAAAAAAGATACTTAAACAAATAGATTTAAAACTCAAATGGAAACAATTTATTTTTAAAATGACTTTTATAGATACCCTTGTTTAGAAACATAGAATGTATAACTTGGTTTATAACAAACCTGATTCTATCATCAGATACAGAAAATGAGAAAATTATGGGGAAGATTTTTTTTTTGTTTCACTTTGGAATCAAATCAGATTTTCTTTCCAGACCCAAGAATAACTGGATAATTTAGTACCTTGGTACTTAAATTGTGATCCAAGGACTGGCATCATTGACTTCACCCGAGAGCTAATTTAAAATGTAGAATCTCTCAGATCCTGCATTCTAACAAGATTCCCAGGTGGTCTGAATGCATGGGCCTGGTCTAACATAAGCTACATAGTTTGCTGTGAGATGCTATTTCTGGATAAATATATTAATCATATTCAAATTATCTTCAGAGATATGTTTGGACAAGTCATTTCCTCAGAAAATGAGGATATCTTAGATATCTAAGATATTTTAGTGAAAGTGGACAGGACAAATCCACTCTAGATCACTGACATCTAAGTACAGAGCAGTCACAAGAAGGAAACTCTCAAGATATCAAAAAGCAAACTGTCACTAAAGCAACGAGATGGCATAATTGACCAAAGCATCTGACAATCTAGGTAGCCAACAGGTATTGAAGGGTTAATGGTAGAGTTTCACAGTGATTAAAAGAATAAAATCCTTTTACTTTCAAAGTAGTTTGTAGTAGGACATAAGACAAATGTCACGGTGACAAAATTGAGAACATTTTCTCTCATGCCACTCAACTAGAAAATAAAAACGGCCGGGCGCGGTGGGGCTCAAGCCTGTAATCCCAGCACTTTGGGAGGCCGAGGTGGGTGGATCACGAGGTCAAGAGATCAAGACCATCCTGGTCAACATGGTGAAACCCCGTCTCTACTAAAGATACAAAAAATTAGCTGGGCATGGTGGCACGTGCCTGTAATCCCAGCTACTCAGGAGGCTGAGGCAGGAGAATTGCCTGAACCCAGGAGGCAGAGGTTGCGGTGAGCCGAGATCGTACCATTGCACTCCAGCCTGGGTAACAAGAGCGAAACTCCGTCTCAAAAAAAAAAAAGAAAATAAAAACTTACTGTATCCTGTTAACATGTTTTAACCTGCTGAACATCTGACATCTGTTTGCTTCCATATAACTTTCAACACAATAGAAAAGAATTATAACCTTGGGGGTGAGAGCTCAGGCTCTGAAATCAGACTGGCTGGGTTTGTATCCTGACTTCAACATTTCTTTGCCTTGTTAACTTCCCCAAGCCACTAGTATCAGTAACACCATCTCAGGGGATTGTGTAGGTTACATAATAGTGCTTGGAAAATGCTTTATTCAGTATTGGGCAAATAGCAAACACTTCAATAAATGTTAGCTGTTTTTTCTTTAACCTTTGTGAAAACGCAAAATGTAAAGTATGTAAAAAGGCAACTTTGCTTAGTTTGCAAGTGCAGCTCCTGATGTGAATTAAAATGTCACTTAGGTTTCCATTAGGCACATAGGTGATACCCTGAGTTTATGACTCCAGAGTCCTCTGGTTAAAAAGCTGTTCTTTGACATTGATATCCACACCTTGTTTTTACCTACTCTCCTCAGAAAATACTTATAGAGGTTTGTGTTTCGTACAAATGTACTGAAGTTTTACACGGGGTGGGGGGGGGTGTTTTATTTTTTTGTCATCACTTTCTTTTTATTTTATATTTTAAAAACAGCTTATTGAGGAATAATTGATATAAAAAGAACTGCACGTATTCAATGTGTGCAATTGGATGCGTCTGGACAATGCAAACCCTGTGCCTTTTGCCATCATTTTCATCTTGAGCGAGCTGCTTTCAACGGGCTATTTTTTGTCACACCTTGATTTCAAGACCTATACCTGCAGAAAAGACATTTTTCAAAGGCAATTTAATTCAAACCCAACTTAAATGCAGGGAATCCCATACATACCTCAAACCGAAAGCTATAGCCTCTTAGGGTGGTGATTCCCCAAGAGACTGCTAGGTGGCAGCATTACTTACAGAAACAGTTTGCAGGAAGGGAAAGGTCTATTCTCAGGTAAAGAAGACCCTGCC